CACTTCCAAATTGCTGGGAACGCCACAGTGATACAGTCATTATGAAAACAGCTGGCAGTTCCACCACCAAAGAATAGCCCTCTGTACTAAGGTGAAGTAAGCCAAAACAAAACTGAACTCATACAACTGGAAACCTCTTATGAACTTTTTGTGTAAAAATGAAAAAAAAAATGAGTTTGTGATTTATGGCTTTGATGATTAGACAGGATAGATTATAGAAAGAAGGGTATTATGACATAACTTTGGAGAGAGAGATTAAAATATAATTGTACTTATAACTGCTGTGAAGAATATCGGAAGCTACTTCTTTGTGTCTTTTTTCTTTCTTTTCTATTTTTTTTCAACTTTTTTTTCTTGCTCTTTTTTCTTTGCCTTTGCTTTCTTTTTTTTTCTTCCTTGCTTTATATTAGTTTGATTAGTTTTTATCTTCTTTTTTTAAAGTTTATAATTGTACTTATAACTGCTGTGAAGAATATCGGAAGCTACTTCTTTGTGTCTTTTTTCTTTCTTTTCTATTTTTTTTCAACTTTTTTTTCTTGCTCTTTTTTCTTTGCCTTTGCTTTCTTTTTTTTTCTTCCTTGCTTTATATTAGTTTGATTAGTTTTTATCTTCTTTTTTTAAAGTTTCATTAAAAATCATATTAAAAAATCTGTCATACAGTTCCTTGACGTAGCAGTTTAACTTATTTTGTTCTCCATATTAACTAAATAAGTTGAATTTTGAGTAATATCAGATAAAAGCTCAGTACCATCTCATCAACACATCTGTGCTTGACTTTAAAGCTCTATTATGTAGCCCTAGCATACTGACTACTGTATACTGTATCGATTTTTTCACTATTTTTTCCCAAACATCATTAGTTTCAGTAGACTTTATTACAATGGGACAGGCAACCTGATGTCCTCTAGATATTTTGATTTTCAGTTCCCATCAGCCTCAGCCAGTATGGCCACTTGCAAGGGATTCTGGGAATTGTAGTTCAAAACATTTAGAGATACTAAGCAACCTATCCCTGCTCTGCTCTGAATTCAAAATGTAGGATTACAAATTTTTAAAAGCTGTAAATGCGTTGTCTTTTTTCAAACACTCACAACCAGATTTGACAAGGATGTTTCAAAAGTGCTTTGTATAGAAGTATCTCTAAAACATTTCCCATACATAACTAACTTAATGGGCAAAAATTGTGGACCATTTACATTTTCTAAGGAAAAAAAAAACAGAACAAAGTTTTATTTGACTTGTTTTAGACAACAAAGTATAGTAGGAAGTACATTTTTCCTGGTTCCATTTAAATATATAACTTTCTATAAGATATCCTCAAACTTTTGTGACTTGCTGATATCATGATACTTAGAATTCATCAGCATTTTTATTATGCAAACCCATATTTGTTTCCCTGAAAGTATGTTCCACTGAAGCTAATGTCTCAATAACTATGTAAAGGATTGGTGAACTTTCCTTCCTGGAAAATATTAAGAATACTATTCATTAACTAAAACCAGACTTTGTCCACATCCTTACTATCTGAAAACCTTTACAAACACACACCCTGTTCGGTAAATGCAGAAAGCTGATTTGTTTCTGTTTGCATTGCAGCAAATAGATTCTTTTCTATAGCCATCAAAAATATATTTCACTGCCATATACAAGCCTGGGCAGCAAATAATTTTGGAACAGATGTATGTGATCAAACTCTTGGATGACAGAACACAAATAATGCTGTCATACAGAAATCATTCAAACCAACTCCAGGCTCAGGAGATAAATTTAAGATATAACCAATAAGTAATGGTAGAACACCTTCAGGTATACTTGGAGCCTACCACGTTTTTGATACCGTTGTTGAACTGCTATTTGGAAGTTTTTCTGACACTGAGCTGAAATCCACATTTCTGTAACTTATATTCATTACTCTCTGTCCTGTACTTTGGAAGGAAAGATAACAGGTTATGAATCCTCTCTTAGGCAACATCCTTTCAGTCATTTGAAGATTGCTGTTATATTGTCCCCTTTTCTTCAGGTTAAGCATACCAAGCTCCTATAATCTTTCTTCACAACCTGTTTCAATATCTCTGAATTCTTATTAAAATGTGGTTCATAGAACTGGGCATAAAAGTTGAGGTGGGGTCTGATCAAAGCAGAACAGAATGGAATGACTACTTTCTGTGGTTTGAAAATTCTATCTCAATAGATATAGACTAAAATTACATTTGGGCTTTTTGCAGCCACACCACACATATTCAGTTTGCAATCAGCTACTATGACAAGATTCTATTTGGAAGTACTATTACTAAGCCTAATATCCCACATCCTATACTTGTGCATTTCATTTTTGTTTCCTAAATGAGTAACTGTGTGCATGTGCCTGTTACCCTGTTACTTTCAGCCTATTCCTCCAATCTATCAAGACGTTTTTGAATATTATTTCTGTCTTCTAAGGTATTAGCTATCTCACTCAATTTTATATCACCTGCAAATCTAATAAGCATTCTCTCCATGTTTTCATCCGAATCAGTAATGAAAATATTGAAGAGTAGATGATCCTCTACTCTTTTTTTATTACATTTTTACAAAAAGTCCTGTCAAATATATTACAGTTTGCCTGCATTCCCTCCCCGCCCCCTGGTAAAGAGTCATGACTAACCAATATGCATCTAATAGGAGAAAATATGTCTATGCCTGAACAGATACTGTATATGCAGATCTTTCCTTGTATTAGCCCAGCCAAGTAAAGTCTATGTAAATTGACATACTTTTTCACTTGAGCAAAATCTGTTTTTAAAATAATATGAAGTCAAGCATACAAAATTTTTGCGACATCTTATATATTAAATTTGTATTTCTCTTTTCTTTCTGCATAATGCTGCAGTAACAATATCAATTTCTTGAATGTCAGTCTATAACTGACTGACTGAATGGCTGATAACACATGGAACCAAGTACAAATACACTCTTTTTTCCTCCGGAAATTATATTTCTTTTTGTAATGATTCAATTTTTATTAATAATAGATATTTTGGAAGCACTGTCCTTAACTTTATTCTATTGGTTTCCTGTCATACAAAAAAAAAAAATGGAAAATGTATGCATTTTTAGTTTCAGGTGCAAAGGTAAAATATTGCTCAAGTAAAATCAATGCCTGTAATTCATACAAGACAAGAAAAGATTAAATAAAATGTTCCACATACCGATCTCTTCATAAAATGTCTTCTTTACCAAGCAAATGTATTGGGTAAATTGAAAACAATAATGTTCTTTTTAAAAAATCACACCACTGCATAATTACAAATTCCTTTTACACATATTTCTATATTATCAGAAAGTATTGTCAGTTATGGCCTCAAGCAGCCTTTCCCAACTTCATGCTCTCAGATCTGTTGACTTCAGCTTCCAAAATTCCCATCACGGTCAATAGCCATGTTGTTTGGAGTTTATGGAACCTGAGGTTCAACAGTTCTGCAGGGCACCTGTTTGGGGAAAGCTTGGACAAGAACAAAACTAGCAGTGTTTCCTTTTTTAAAATGTTCTACTACAAATCCTTTTTGTTGTTGTTGTTCAGTCGTTAAGTTGTGTCCGACTCTTTGTGACCCCATGAACCAT